GTGCCTATCTCTCCGATTTCTGAATTTGGACGCGGCAGGCGAAAGGCCCAGCATTTCCAATGCCTGGGCACCCTGAAGCCGTAACCATCAAGGACCCTCGTCCCTAGTACAACCGTTTGTGTATGTATGTATATATGCGTGATAACACAGATGTTCATATTGGTATGTGTATATATATATATACATATACACATGTATATATGCACATTCATATGCACAGCGTTTTCAGGCTTACAAGTACATAGACGTATGTATCTACCTATACAGCCGTATTTTGGTCTTTGCCTTGTCAGGTCCAGCGACCGAGGACGAACTGGTGGCCGTGAGGGCGACAGTGACCTGCCTCCCGGCCCGTGGCCGTCACGAGATGCTCCAAGGACCAGCGCAATGGCGGGGGCATTGTGCTGTTTTTTGATTTGCAGTCGGTGGGGTGTGTGTTAATGCACACATTCAAAGTGATGCTTCGACCTGTGGGGCCATGGTGTTGCAGAGTTTAGCATTCGGGGTACACGACAATGTAGTTGACTGAAAAGCCTGGCACTTTGGCTTCCAAGGGCTTCTTATTCCCCCAAATTAACGCGGTCGTCGACGGAGGCAGGAGTGCGGTTGGCATTCCGATCAATAAAAGTTCTAGGATGAGCTCCAAGATGCCTAACCCACGCTCCTCTGCAACATTGAAAAACGTCCTGCAAAACTTGCATGTGGCTGTGGGCTCTATGGCCCCAAGATCCTGAATTTTAACTTTTTCAGTTTCTTCAGGGCGCGGAGCCCTCCACGGGGCAACAACAGCGGAGCCCGCAGCCCGCGGTGGAGCCCGAGGAGGAGTCCGAGACACTTGGTCATTGGTTCTACTGCAGGAAGCTAGCGATTTTACAGCCACGAAATAAACCCTACTTGCATATATATATATATACGCTACATACATATATATATATATGTGTGTGTGTATGTATTATGCATACATGCATACATACATACATACATACATACATGTATAAATACATACATTCATACATACATACATACTTACTTACTTACAGACAGACATCCAGACATACATACATACAGACATACATACGTACACACATACATACATACATACTTACCTACCTACCTACCTACCTACCTACCTACCTACCTACCTACCTACCTACGTGCTTACTTACTTACTTACTTACTTA